TTGAACTTAAGCATTATACTCTTCTTAATGATATTAAAACTAACAATATTTTTAGAAAAGTAGTAGCTTATTTTTATACAATCGAATTTCAGAAGCGTGGTCTATCTCATATATACTTTTTGATTTTTTTTCATAGAGATGATAAAATAAAAGAGCCTAGCAATGTTGATATATTGTAAGTGCAGAGTTTTCTAATCCAGACTTCAATCCTATACTTTTTGATACAATTATATACTATATAGTTCATGGCCTTTGTGGAGCCCGTAATTTCAATACACTATGTATAGAAAATATATATACCAAAAAAAATATCCAAAAGACTTTTATAGTACAACAACAATGGATGCTAATGGATATCCTCATTATGTTAGAAGAGATAATAGTTGTTTTAATATTGGTGACAAAACTGTTGATAATAGAGATGTAGTGCTATATAACTCTACTCTTAGTAGAAAATATAACTGTTATATAAATATTAAAGTTTGTGCTTTTGTTAAAGTATATATGCCAACTAACTATACTAATCTGTTTTAAATATTATATTTTTATTTATTTATTTATCTTGATATTATCCACATATATAGGTTATCAAGTATATTTACAAGTATATTTATAAAAGTCATAATAGAACTACAATACGATTTGGATATAAACCTGATGAAATCAAGCAATATATTGATGCTAGATATATTGGTGCACCAGAAGCAGCTTGGAAACTACTTGGAATATATTTACATGAAGAAGTACCAAATGTTGTAAGATTAGCATTGCACTTTTCAGGAATGCACCAAGTAGTCTTTGATCCAAATAATGATACTTTGAATTTTCTTTTTCAAGAAGATTGTAAAAAAACATTTCTTACTGAATTTTTTAAAAGATGTACTGAATTGGAGTGTACTCACCAATTTACATATTTAGAGTTTTTACAATATTTTGTATAAAATAAAAAAACTAAAAAGTAGACAATTAGAAAACAAGAGTTTGTAATCAAACATTTATATTTTGCAGATTCTTCTACTAGAGAATGATATTATCTTCAGCTCTTACTAATTAATATTCATAGTCCACAATTATTCAATTACTTAAAAACAGTTAACAATATTTTATATCCTACTTTTAAAGCTGTATATATAGCTTTTAGCTTATTAGAAGATGATGAAGAATAAGATCAATATTTGAATAAAGCTTTTACTATACAAAGTGGCTCACAACTAAGAACACTTTTTGCAATTATTCTTACTCAATGTACTCCTACGTATCCAGAAAGATTATGGTTAAAATACATAACAATATTTGTGATAATTTAGATTATTACTTACATTTAGAATATTTTATCAAAACATCTACTGAAAATCAAATCTATGATTATGGGCTTTTTCTTATCAATAAAATTCTTTTTGCCTCAAATAAATCACTTTCTGAATATTCTTCTATGCCAATTTAGAAACACAACTGGGATCTTAGCAATGGAAATTGACTTATTTCAGAACAATTAATGTGGGACTGTGATGAGCTTCAAAATTTAGTCAACAATTGTATACCACTATTAAACAATAAACAACATGCTGCATATCAAAATATTTTTAATTCAGTAACAAATAATTATAAAAATTTATTTTTTTTGAATAGACCTGCTGGAATCAGCAAAACTTTTGTATATAATACACTTGCAATAACAATTCACAGCAAAAGCAAAATTGCACTTTGTGTAGCCTCTTCTGGCATTGTAGCTCTTTTACTTATTGGTAAACGAACAGCACACTCACTCTTTAAAATTTTAATTGATATTAATGAACTTTCTAATTGTTTATTTAATAAGAACTCTGAACTTGTAGACCTTTTTTGCTAAACTGCATTTATTGTTTGGGATGAAGCACCTATGCAACATCACTATTGTTTTGATATAGTTAATTGCTCTTTATGTAATATCTATGATGATAATCATCCCTTTGGTAGAATCACTGTTGTACTTGGTGGTGATTTCTGCCAAATCCTTTCAGTTGTTGTAAAAGGCTCAAGAAAACAAATAGTTGCTGCTTCTCTTCAATGTTTACTTCTTTGGCAATATGTAACTATACTTATACTACAAAAAATATACATTTGGAGATAGAATCAGAAAAAAATAAATATTTTGCTAGTTGGCTATTAAATATAAGACTATGATTTTTAATCTTATTTTTTTATTATAACTAAATAATCATTTGTTATATATAGGTTGGAAATGGTTTAAACTTGGAACTTGATAGTAGAATTACACTTCCAGAATATATAAAAGTTGGTCTTGATATATTATTTCTTATTAGTGCAATTTATCCTAATATATAATTAGGTGTACTGAATAACAAATATCTAAGAGATTGCATGATTTTATCAGCTTGCAATGATAATATACATGACATTAACTATGAAGTTCTTAATATTTTTCCAGGAGATATGTGTATATATTTAAGTACTGACAAAGCTATAACAGAAGAAGATGCTGACAATGGCAATATATATCCGATTGAGTATTTGAATACACTTAATCCATCTGGAATACCATCTGCTAAACTTCTTCAAAACCTTGCTCCTTCACTTGGTCTTTGTAATAGCTTTTACTTAATTGTAGTTTGGCTTACAGATCATGTTATTGAAGCACATATTCTTAGTAAAAATTATACTGGAAACTTGGTTTTTATTCTTAGAATTACTTTAAAACCTTTCTCAACAAGTTTACTATTTATTTTTACACAAAGGCAGTTTCTGATTTGTCTTGCTTTTGCCATTACAATAAATAAATCTCAGGGCCAATCCTTAGTGCATGTTGGACTAGATCTTCGAACTGATGTTTTTTCACATGGTCAACTTTATATAGCTCTTTCCTGTTGTACTTCACCTTATTTAATTAAAGCTCTTTTTCCACCTGATTCTAATAACAATACTACTATAAATGTAGTTTATCCTGAAGTGCTGCTAGAAAATTAGCTTTATTAAATAGATATAGCAAATATATTTATTCTTAATTCTTTTAATTGGTTGTTAAGACTAAAGCATTAGAAACCTTAATTTCTTTTACTTTTCTATTAATTCTAATAAAAATAAAAAGTAACAATACAATTTTCTATTTTGGTTTTTTGCAAAGTAAAAAATTTACAACTAAATTTGCTAACCAAACTGATTTTTAAAATTTATATATACAAATTAAAGTATATCTTTTTATACTATATTACAAAATCTTTAAACTAAAACCTATATATTGTGATGAAATAATTTAATTTGTTATATTTATTATTATTTCTTTCTTATTTTATATATTTCTTTATTCGTTTATTTATGTATTTAAATATTATCCTTTATTTATATATTTGCCTTATTTATTTATTTATCTATTATTATCTTTTTCACTTTTTTATTTTACTCTATATATTTATTTCTTTTATTTATTTATTTATTTATTTTACTCTTTAGTTAGCTAATTAGTTAGTATTTCGTTCATCTTTAGTTTTATAGCTGTATATATATAGTATATAGTTAGTTAAGTAGATAGTTGTAGGATAGTTAGAGTGTATGAGTATAGATAGAATCTGGTTTGACATGGTTACAGGATGCGATCATTACACAATACACATAACTGTACACCCGAACAACCCGGAATGTATAACCATTTATACATTCCCCACAATCTATCAACCAAGCTATCTATGCAGACTAGACGACCAGCTATGACCCATAGAATTTATCAAACCTGCAGTGATGCAGGGTATCAGAGTATATATAAGAGAAGTCTTTTGCCCTTTGGAAAAGACATTCTCTGGCAGAATCTGTCTTGGCATATAATAAAATTAACCTCAAACAACTAAAGTTAATAAAACTCAAAACTCTTAATTGTCTAACCTACCTAATTTCTTTTAAAATAAATATCCACATAACACTCGTTCACCTGAATTCTTGATATTCTCAATAGAATATCTGGAATTTTCATAACAATATTTTTAAACCTTATTTTTTTGCACTACTTAATTATATACTTAATTTTACTATATTACTTTTATATAGAGTTTTATTTATTAAAATTTGTACTATATTAATTTATCAAATTTATAACTATTACAATAAATAAATTTTATAACCATGCACAATAGCACAGTTAAATGCTAGTTAGTTCATAGTATAGAACAAAATGGAAAGTACATGATGACATTACAAGGTTCTAATAATAAAAATTTAATAAATTGTACTATTAATAGACAGAGTTGCATCTGCAAAACTGACTGTCAAGATAAAGTATATATATAATAAATAAAAAGGACCATCAAAAAAAATAAAGTGTATTATATATATTACAATTAAATTAATTTAACAGTAGTTAGTCTTGTGTAATTGTTTATTAATAACAATTAATTTTTTATTTTAATACTGTTATTATATATTTGGAACACTGTTTTAGAGCAGGGTAATACTAAAAAAACACATTTTATGTGTTTTTTTTGGGTCTGCAAATTAACATTTGCTTCCGTTATTACCCTGCTCTAAGACAGTGTTCTGCATTGCAGAACTAGATTGTAATTTTAAAGAATTCACCAAAATTCTCAGGCATTTTTATAAATGAAAATCAGATTCTAACGAGACAATTTACATGATAACTAATTAGAATTATATAATATTCTAAATTTGGCTTTGTTCTTATCTAATCAACAATAAATACAAATAAAATAATCCAATAGAATGAGTTTGGATTTGGTTAATCAACACCATTATCAGATGACAATATGTAGCATATGCAAGCCATATGCAACCAAATATGCTCATCCAATCCCTCCATTCAGCCTTGTTTTGGAATGACAAACAATACTCTAATATGTTTTGATTATGATCTACTAATAAGAGACGTAAATTGTTATAAAAAAAATGCCATTTTACATTGTGCAATCCCAAAAATTTTACAGATTTACATGTTCTTGACTATATTTTTTCTTATCATCTCTATACCTGTTGTTTTACAATACGTTATTGAACTTAATATGGAAAATCCAGAACAAATTACAATTTTGACTAGATCTTCATCTCTAAATGTTGAGATCAATAGTCAACCAGACAATCCACCAACATATGAAGAGGCAGTTGCTAACACTTCTCCACAAGGTTAAAAACTAGCAATTTTTACTTATTTCTATCTCTAAAATTTTTGCAATTTTTTACAACAAAAAATAAATCTAACATGGCTTTTCAACCTATTGTCGAACAAATTGAAACAATAACTTTAGAAGAAGTTACAAACTCTAACCAAGGCAAGTTTAAATACTAATGTTGTTAAATTTATTACTTTGTTAATATATATTCTATTTTTAGAGTTAAGAAATCATTTGTCAGAACAAGTTGCAAATGAAACATACCAATATATTGAGGAGAAAATATCTTCTTTAGAAAAAACAAACTCTGATTTTAAAAAGATTATTTTTATTTTACTTTTTATTGTCTTTATCATATTTTACTACATGCAAAATGTACATTATATAAATATAGATCTTCTCACACGAGAAGTTGAAACAAATTTTAAAATAGATACTTATAATCACAATATAGAAAAAGCAGTTGAAAATATATATAGAATTGTTGATAAGTTGTTGGCGACTAAGATTAAGAAACATGAATTGTAAAGAGAATTAATAGCTTTGAGCTGTTTGTTTTCTGATTGATTTTCACTATTCACGATGTGTGTGAAACTAAAATTTTTAGTTTCACACACATCGTGAATAGTGAAAATTACACTGTAATTATTTTATTTCTTATTTTATTTCTTTATTTTTAATAAAATTTATTAAATTATTTTATTAATTTGTTTAAAACTTTACGTCTTTCTATACTATTTTGTCTTAAAAGTTCTTTAAAAAGTGTTTCTAATCTAAATATAGGTAGAATTAACTTTGGTTTGAAGCAATACAAATATGGATCAAATTTGTGAAAATGTGCTGATGTTGCTAAATTTTTTACTAATTGATTCTTGTTTTCTGCTTTAAAAATATTATCATGCATCTTTTGATACTTTACATAGACACAATTTGTTTTTTTCATCTTATATTTTTCACATTGTACTAAGATGAATGCTATCTCCTCTAAGAACACTTGATAGAGTGTTGGATCATGAAATTTGATTCGTTTTTGTATCGCTTTGAAATTATACTCTTCTTTCATTATCGATTTGAATTCTCTGTTTAACCATCTTGGCAGTCGTCTGGTTTGATTTTTTACTTGTTTGTTACGTATGAGCACAGAAACTTTCTTTTTTTTGCTTGATCTCTTATTAGTTTGTAATAGAATTCCAACTTTGCGATTTTAATCAACAACCTAGGATAATCTGCATAAAGATGCGGTTTGAACTAATATTGACTATATTTTAACAAAAGATCGATCACAAATTGGTCTTTGTCTTGAGCATCATCAATCTCCTTCATGATCTTTTAATATTTCTTTACCACCTTATTATCATCTTTTAACTTGTAAAAATAGCATGCTTGAAGAATCTCAATTAAAACTAATGTGAATTTTGCATGCAAAGAACCATCATTAATTGAAATATGTGTCTGAAAACGGCATTTGTTTTCTTCAAGATAGTCTCATGTTGCATCTTTTTTACCATATTTGCTGTTACTTTAAAAAATAAAATATTAGTATATATTTATAATAAATATACAACAGACGCAGCCAAATTTCTTGTTTTTACGTTGTAGTGAATGCGTCATTCTTCGACCCCGCAATGGGCTGTCGCGTCTGATTAAAAAAAAAAGTGGTTTGTGTGGCTACGCCGTATTGGTAATTGATAATAATATGTAAAAAAAAAATGCCTGTTAATCAGACTATTTTGAAATATTATACAGATTCTAGTAAATATATACTTTTCAAAAATTGTGGGATTAATAAAACTGGTTTAAAAAGAAGCCAAAATAAACAGATTAAACGCGTAGAAGAACCAATCAGAAATCATAATGACAAAGATGATTTGTGAGATTTGCAAAGCAAAAGTTTATTTAACAGCAAGAATTTTGACGGAGACAACCTCCAATTCACTCTGAATTTTACAAATACAACACACAATACACAACATGAAATTCTTTAAAAAACTCTTAAAATGCTTCAAGAAAACCCAAAAACAAGACAATAACTAGGATAAAATTTGTGAAAAAGTTGAGAGTTGGTCCACAAAGTCAACAGATGATAAAGAAGATTTTCTTGAAACCACCTTACCAACTATTGAATTTGAGAATCAATTTTCTGTAATTGATCTGAAGTTTTACATAAGATACAAAGAATATCTTGATAATGTAAGACAAAAGGAACCTGAGAATTACAAAAAGTTCAAAATGTATTTCTCTTTTTTGGATATGCATATCAGAAGTTACCACAACCTTTTTCATGCTGGAATGTGATAGTTGGAACTTGCTATTATATAGAAGAGAAGGTTATGAGAATGATTTTGAATTTGCAATAGGTGTTTTGAATAAAAATTTTAGTTATATTTACCTGTTGGACTATAACGATTTATTAGATTATACTAAAAATAATTTAATATTTTAACTGTATTTTTGTAAATATTCGTATTATATATTTAATTTTTTGTAAATAAACATGTGATTTTTAGTATGTTCCAAAAGATCAGCATAATTGTGTATTTGTATGAATCCGGATTTGGTTGATCCGATACTCTCATACATGCATGATGACTCACACTTTTATATAATACACAGTTGATCAACATAGTACAAATATCCACCGATTGTGCCCAATTTCTGTTTTTTTTGCCTTTTTGCTCTTCCGATGATTGTACATTTGAGCCTGAGAGAACATGGAGAATACGTGATTTAAACGATGCTTAGAGCATTTCCACGCAGTGACTGATACATAAGATATCCAAGAAATTGAAGAAGCGTATCCGTGTTCTCTCATCTTCATATAGCATAGGAACAGGCGAATGGTCGAATTTTTTTATCGCTTCAGATGGTCGTTATTAAGTTTTGGCCATGCTTTCCACCTCGAGAGTGAACAAAAAACTTAGTGTTTGCAATCAATGCACCTTGAGAAATGTCTCAAGGAACAGATATGTTTAAGCTTTTTTCTACCATAGAAGAGTAAAAAGCACTCTCAAATGTTAGTCATCTTGAGGCATACTACATGGTTTTACCGGTTAAAACTTCAGGCTTATAACGCTGAGATGCAACTCGATCCACTGATATTTAGACTTTTGGCAGCTGGATCTGAACTACAAAAGTCAAAATTTACATGAGTTTTACGATCGTGGTTATTGTTCATTCATGGCTTGGGATCCGAACATAATCTCCCCAGTAATTTGGATTCACGTTCGAATTGATCATTTGCTCTTGTTTTTTTACATGCAAGATGAGAAATACCTTTACGTGGTTTGTATGATGAGTAGTGTATTTTTCAAATGCATGATACCAAATTTTCTCAAATAAAAATTGGCTAAGATAGTTTTTTTGTTTTTCTTGAAGTGCAAAACTTTTTACACAAAATAAACCAAAAATCTTTAAAAAAATATACAGAAAATTTTATAAATAAAATAGTAATTTTAATTTTGAAATATTAATTGACCAAAAATAATTCAGATAATTTAATATAAACAAAAAATTATACAGAAATGGCATTTTCGTGTGAAGTTTGCCGTAGATGGAAGAGAAAATGCATACAAATTAAAGAATCTGAGATATGCAAACATTGCAAAGAACGAAACAAAACATGCATCCGATACAAGCCTTCAAACCCTTTTGTTAAGATAACACAGTTAACAAAACAAGTTGAAGAACAAAATATACAGATTATTGAGTTAAAAAAGATTAATTCAAAGTTAAAAGAAGATTATAAAAAAATAAAGGCAAATCTAATTGCAAGACAAGTACTTGATTGTGATATGGAACATATAGGCTAGGTGCTGAGAAAAGGGACCAAATTGTCAAAATAAAAGATCTTTGGAAAATCAATTTTTATGTTGTAAATCTTATAATAAATTATAAGAAAGTACAAACTTTAAAGAGCAATATAGCAAAATTTTATTAATACAACTACTTTTATGTCTTAATTAAAAAATGATTCTAATCTTATTCTAAATTGATTTATATTAAAAAATATCTTTTGAAAAAATAGTCAATTTGGTCCCTTTTCTCAGCACCTAGCCCATATCTTAGAATAAATTTTTATTAAAAAAAATTAATAATTTTTAAGAATATCAATAAAGGCTTGCCAAATGTTGACTCTGTGCTTTCTTCGCCAGATGAATTCTAATAAATGTTTTTCAATCTTGTCTTGATTTCTATTTCTTTCAGTAATTATTGTTTTTAGTCCTGACCATGTTCTCTCAATTGTGTTTGTATATATTCCGAATGTTTCAGACACATTTCTCGAATGATTTACTCTTCTGTGAATAAGATTTAATCCTCCAAGCTGGTAGCCTTTCTATGAATCTGTGAACACAATTGATTCTGGTTTTACATGTTTCTTGATGATTCTTCTTAAAGTTGTTGTATTTCTGTCTTCAACTACAACAAAGAAGCATTTTTGTTCTTTGGTTCTTTCTATACCACCAACCACCCAAAAATTCTTGTTCCTCTTGAATTTGCTCTCATCTATCTCCACGATGATATCCTTTTCACCGATGATCATGTCATCTTCCTCCAACGTGTTGATAACTAGATCTCTGAATATTTTAGTATAATTTACTATAGTATTGGGCAAATGATTTGTCATAATACTAATAGATGTATAATTGATTTTTGACAACCAAAAATATGCAAGCAACAGTATATCTGAGCTAATAATATGATGTTTAGCAAAGAATGAATCCTTATAGATAGAAACTGCTTTATGACAATCTTGATTTTTACATCTAAACAATTTTTTATTTTGACGTAATTCTGCACCACAATACGAACATTGAGAAGGAGTTTGAATAATATTATTTGAAATTAAATAATTAATACATGTTTTTTCTTTTAATAAAACTTTATAGATTTGTTTAATATTTGGAAAAGACATGATAAAAATATATTTTATTTATAAAATTTTAATACAATAATTTATTTATATATAACAAAAAATAAATTACTTAAATAATCTTTTTGTTCAAAATTTTTAGAAATATTATCATCTATATGCTTGCGTTTCTTAGCATATCTTCAGAGATATCAAGTATAACATCTGATTCATACAATTCTGATTCTGATAAAAATTCTTCTGGATCTTGTGATTTGTTGTTTAATTCTACGTAATTTGACTGAATTCTAGCTTGTTCAAGATCTATAGATTCTTTTTCTGCTATTAAATTTTTAGCAATAGAATCAATCACAACCATTTTACCTTTCTTTTTTTTACGTGTATAATCTGAATCATCTGAACTAATATTACTAAAATCTGAATTATTAGAAGAAAAATCTGATAATTCTTTCTCTTCAATATATTTTCGTTTATGTGAAGTGCTGGATTCAATCTGAGGATCTGTATTTTCTATTAAATTTTGTGAAATAACTTGTTGTGATTGTGATTTACACTCCATGCGATACTCAAAGAGTGGTCGACTCATTAGATAATCCTGCAAATAATAACGCTTAAACTCTGGAAACTTGCGATGCCAATATACTGTATGACTAACAATAACATGCTCCTCTTCGATTCCTTTGTTAACAATTTTGCTTTTCTCAATAACTTCTGCCACTGTATTATGCCTATTTCGATACTTCACATCCCAGTTCATACTACGAAATTGCTCCTCAGTACCCCATGTAATTCCTTCCAACTCACATTGATGATATGTAATTTTTGTAGTACGCTTCTCGATATCGTCATTCCACACACCATCAAACTCGATCACAAAATCTAAACGTCTACCAAATTGTCGAAAATCACGCTTGTTATCATCCTCATTTCCTTCATGATTTTTAAAATTATAGGCTTCCAATGGATTCTTTGTGGTTGTCATAAATATATATTTAGATAAAAATAGAACAAAACTTTTTCCCTTAATTTCTACGTTATAACTTGTATCATTTAACAAATTCACCATGTTGTTCCACTCGATCTTAGTATAAAACTCATCTAAGAACAAAATATCTTGACTATCATATCCATCCCACCATGAAGAACCAGACCTTTGTTTCATTTTTTTGTCATAGTACTCATCTTTAAAAAGTTCTTCCACTAACCCAGATTTACCACTTCTACCTGGACCAAAAAGATAAAAAACAATTGGATGCCAGAATCTTTGTATTGAATTTTTTTGTTTTCTTCGAGAATGCTTAATAGCTTTACGGATAACATACACATTTTTTAGATCTAATACCCAGTTCGACATTTTTGGTGCATATTTAATTACAGCCTCATCTCCAAATAGATCATTTTTAATAAGATCCTTCATGATTTCAATTGAAACTTGATGTTTATCAGGAGTTCTGTCAACAAATTTATTTTTTCCAAATGGATTATTATTTTTTGCCTTATAAATTCCAAATTCAAACGGTCCAGATTTATCATCAAATCTTGCCCAAGTTCTATATTTTTTACAGTCTTTATTGCACCATTCACAATGCTTTTCTAGATCAAAATAATCACATCGACATAACATAATTTTGCTTTTTGGATCATTTGGATTAATGGGTTTTTTATGATGTAATAAGCATTTGTTATAGTCTTTTCCAGTGTAATGAACAGAATCTTCAATGCTTGCCACACCTTCAAAATGAGTTTTATTCATTTGTAGAAGACCTTTGACACCTGAAATACTGTCTTTTTTTCTATTTTTTTCACTAGCTTTTAAATATTTTCCAATTCTCATTGCGTCTTTGAGGATTAATACTCCCTGGATGTGAATGTCCATTTGATCTTGTTGAGGATTATAGTTTCTCTTATACTGGTATTTGATATAACGAAAAGGATTTTTATCACTTTTAAAATATTTTTCTACTAAAGAATTAAACTGTTTTCTATCAAAATGATATGCTGTGAAATTCAAATATCTGTTTTGCACTGATATTAAAGGTTTTGTTTTGTAATTTATGCAAAGACATTTTGGAACAATCAGTTTTGGTATAATAAAAACAAAAATATCATTCTATTTATACTTTTTAATAAAATAATTTGTTCGTACAAATTTTGAATTTAATAAGTAGAATTACCAAATGTAGATTGTCTACATTAGGAAATTACACTAAGCTAAAAAAATAATAGCGGAATTACCAAAAGTAGATTTCTACCTTTGGTCTATCTTTTTTGAGTTTTTTCGTTACAATAAGCCACACTTAAACGTGATTTTTGACAACTTTCTCACAACAAAACCACCTTTACGCTTCTAAACAAACTTTGTGGATGGGATATCGGACTATTCGAATCTCAATTTTTAGCCTTTTTTCATCAGATATTCGCAGAGATATTCACGTTTTTGTCTTTGTTTCGCTAATACGTTTCGCAAAATTGCCGACGGATTTCAATCGATCAGAAGACCAATTTCTTCAAATGAAACAATATTTACGTCTCTAACTAAAGTTATTCGGGTAGTTTTCAAGAGCTAGGATCTCAATTTTCAGTTTAATTGCGTGTGTATTCGTCAAGTTATTTACGTTTTTGTAACGAGAACTAATGACAAATTTTTTATTTTTGTTTGTAAAAACGTATCGATCGATTTGATAACAACAGTAAAATGAAACATGTTGTACGATTCTAACAAAGATTTTAGAGATGGTATTTGAGAGTTTTCTTATAAAATTTCAAGTAAAACTGATTAAAACTCATCAAATTATCAAAGATTTTCGTTTCTCTTTTGTATACGTTTTATTTGCAAAGATAAATTTTCAAACATTAATTCAAGCACTTGTCAAAATAAAATCGATTTTACTTCAATAATAAAAGTTGTTTGGTTGGTTCTCAAGGATTAGAATCTCAATTTTTATGTAATTTGAGCAAATATTTCTTGAGAAAACCATATTTTTGTACTTGTAATTATAGACGTTTTTAACAATAAAAAATTACTGCGCCTAGCTGTACCAAAAAATTGGCTGCTGGGAATTTAGTATACCAAATGAAAAATTGCGAAAATACATTTTTTTCATCCTTTTTTGTTAAAAAAATGGTTATTTTGCCGATCTGTAAAAAATTTACTAATTAACTTTTGGTCAAAACCCGAAAATCATGCAAATTTTTGCAAATCCTTCAGCTGGACCGGTCTGGCTGGTAATTTCTTAAAATAGGGATATGTAGATCTCTCTGCGCCAAAATTATACGTTAAGTTAATTTTTTATTTTAATACTGTTATTATATATTTGGAACACTGTTTTAGAGCAGGGTAATACTAAAAAAACAATAACAATTACCATAAATTGGGAATTGATCAATGATTATTATTCTAAACTAATCAGGTTTTTGGATTTTCATATAAAAAATTTATTTTTTTATAAATTCTTGCTATTTTGAAAACTGCGATAAAGCTTCATTTGTGAAGAGTCTTCTGTAGTATTATAAATGATAATTACATTTTTTAAAAACAAATTTACTACTATATGTTAGTAGTAAAAGTACTCTAAAACTCAATTGTATAAATTGACCAATTATGAGAAAGTCCTTCTATATAATGTGATTATTTATATAGCATAGTATTTATATGGCATATAGCATTTATACAGCACATGGCACTTATACTACTTATGGCATTTATATGGTATACGGCACTCCTACTTATATGGCAAATTTGCCATATCACCATAATTCTTTGCCGGGGTAGTTACCCTCAAGATTTTAAATGTCAGCATCATTAGTTATTCATACTCCTGTATATCAAAATTTTTTAAACTTTGAGCAATGTTATCTTGACAATCACTAAGTTAACTTTTTTTATTCGAATTCTACATCTGTAGAATTCAAATAAAAAAAAATCCATCAAATTTGGCTTGATGGGTGTTGAGATATCTTCATACAAAGTTTTAAAAAATTCAAACCATCTATTAAAATAAGCGCTGTACCAAATTGAACTTTTTTTAGAATTCTAATAAAAAAACGTTCAATGAATTTGGCTTGGTAGTTGTCAAGATATCTTCACTCAAATTGTCTGTCAAAAAGAAGAGCTACGCCAAACTTTTTTTTAAACTTTGAATGAAGATATCTCGCCACCCACCAAGCCAAATTCAATGAACTTTTTTTTATTTAAATTCTATGAATATGTAGAAGTCAAATAAAAAAAAAAGTTCATCAAATTTGACTTGGTGGCTGTCGAGATATCTTTGCTCAAAGTTTAAGAAAAAGTTTGGCGTAGCCCTTATTTTGATATTAACCATAGCTGCCGCAACGATCAAAAAATTAGGCCAGAATTACTCAATTTTACTAATGAAACCATAACCGCCCATCAAGTAAAAATTATTCCTGGGCCAATTTTACTATAATGCGGGCTTATTTTTTAAGAATTTCTATTTTTGTGATGAAAAAATCAAAAAGTTAATTCCGGCCGGAATTTAGTAAACAATTTTGTAATGTGGGCCAAAATTTTGAAGATCCTCGGCCGTTAGCCAATCAAAATTGAGGATCTGCCGGTCCAAATTTGTTGCGGAAGCTATGGTTAATTATTTTGATAGACGTTTTGAATTTTTTAAAACTTGAGTGAAGATATATCAAAACACCCATCAAGCCAAATTCGATGGATTTTTTTATTTGAATTCTACAGATTCGTAGAATTCTAATAAAAAAAGTTAATTAAAATTAACTTGATGGTCAAGATAACACAGGGATACGAATAACAAAATTGGGGGTACGAATTTCAGCAACTACCCCAGTAGCACCGACAGATTTCACTGATCGACACCAATCAGATTTGATAAAATTTTCACGTTACACCTGATTTTAAAATCTAATTGGTCAATTTATGTCGATCGGTGAAAATCTGTAGTGTAGTTAGATATAAAATGACAAACCATTATATTAGGGTTAGGTTATGATCTGCTTTCATATATTTTTTAAAAAACGCATGATTTACACGTTACACCTGATCTTAAAATCTAATTGGTCAATTTATGTCGATCAGTGAAAATCTGTCGGGGTAGTTGATTAAATCTGATTGGTCGGTAGTTAATAACAGCCGCCTTATATTTTCATGCTAATCTTCACTCTTTTCTTTTCCTGTTTCCAACACTTTATAATTCTTTTCGACAATTAAATCTTCTTCGCCATTGCTTGTTCTTACTATGCGAATACGTGCAACTTCATTATCCCTTATAGACCCCTATCAACGTTGAAATTCCAATTAACTAATTGAAAAAATTATTTTTCTTAAGAGTTACTAACCTCTATCAAACACATAGACAGTGGATTTAGAATCTTCTTTTGAACCAATCTATTTAATGGCCTAGAGCCTTTTATCAAGCAAACAGTTATTTGATGTTATTTTGACATGCTTCACCTAGAAATCAAAGTTAAGAATAGGTACCATAAGCTGGGTCATAGCCTTTCTCCGCTAACCAGGCCTTAGCATGTTCATCCACATCAACGGTGACATGTCTGTTTTCTAATCGGTTTTGAACTTCTCGAAGACGAATATCTACTATATCTCGAAGTGCCATACGAGATAGGCGGTTGAAAACGATCTATTAAAATTATTAATTGTGGTGGATTATGCTGAAAATGTATTATGCTAAAAATTTTAAAATTTTTTAGGGCCTTTTTTGTGGTCTTTTTTTTTATAATTAGGTTAGGGTTTGGGAGTAGTATTTAATAAAAACTATATGTGAATTTTAGTAGGTTTTATAGATTTAAAAAGAGACCCCAATTTTTAGCATAATCCATTTTCAGCATAATCTCCCACATTAATTATTATAGTGAGATGAAATTTATGTTTATTTTATCCTCATCAATATAATTGATCTCTTACCATTTCGTCAATACGATTTATGAATTCTGGTAAAAAATGTCTTCTTACGACATCAAGTACTGCAGATTTTGTCAAATCGCTTACTTTACCCTCTTCTACAATATCTGACGCGACTAAAATATCAGCACCAAGATTACTTGTCATGATTATGATTGTATTACGGAAATCAATCTTTTTTTTGGATTAAATACGATAAATATGGATTAATGATACACAGATACACATTGTTTGTAATACTTAAAATATCTATTACCTTTCGGCCTTGCGAGTCGGTAACATGTCCATCATCCAAGATCTGTAATAATAAGTTGGATACATCTATTCACCAAATACATTATAAAATTTCAAAACAAAAATCAGATTTAGTAGCAGCTAATTAATTAATTTCTCCAATGAGATGAATTGCTGTTTACCTCTATGAGCCTTTTCCATTTCATCCAAAAGAACAACTGAAAACGGCTTACGTCGAACTGCCTCTGTGAGTTCACCTCCTATTAGATATTCGCAAGATTAGTAAAGACCTTGCTACAAACAAGATTAGTTTATCTTCGCGTGTTAGTATATACAACCTTCTTCATATCCAATATAGCCAGGGGGTGCACCGACCAACCGTGATACCGCAAACCTAGTATATGTATAGTTATAATAATCACATTTTTATTTACTGTATTTTAAATGGATTGTCACATTTACTTTTCCATATATTCACTCATATCAACACGAATGATGGACGATTCTGTATCAAACAAAAACTCTGCGATAGCTTTACAAAGCTCAGTCTTTCCTACCCCTGTGGGGCCGAGAAACAAAAATGAAGCAATTGGTCGTGAAGGACTTTGTAATCCAGCACGACTCAGCCTGACCGCTTCTGATACAGCTCGAATAGCTTCATCTTGCCCTACAACGCGTTGTGAAAGATTTTCTTCCATATGTAATAATTTATCCCTTTCGCTTCGAAGCAAGTTGTGAATTGGAATTCCAGTTATCCGAGATACAATGATTCCAATGTCATCCGCAATAACTCTTTCACGAAGAAGTGATTCTGAACCTTCTTCTTCACCATCATGAGGAAGCAGTTTTTCTAATTCTGGAATGACTCCATAGCGAAGTTCGCTTGCTCGAGTGAAGTTACCTTGTCTCTGAACTGATTCTAACTCAATTTTAGCTTGCTCCAATTGAGATTTAATATTCTTAATTTCTTTTAGTTTAGCGCGCTCTTCCTGCCAAATCATGCTGAGTCTATCTAATTCTTTTTGTTTCTCGTCTAGCTCTATCTGTAATTTCTTTCGACGTTCCTGAGAAGCCAAATCTGTTTCTTTTCTCAATGATTCCAATTCAATTCGAAGAATTATTATTTGTCTATCAAGATTGTCAATTGCTTCAGGCTTGCTTTCTTGCTGTAAACGGAGCTTTGAGCATGCTTCGTCAACAAGATCTATAGCTTTATCTGGAAGAAATCTATCCGTAATATATCGATGAGAGTACGTGGCAGCAGCAACAAGAGCGGAATCTGAAATCCGAACACCATGGTGTATTTCATATTTTTCTTTAAGACCTCGCAAAATTGTTATTGTTTCTTCGACATTCGGTTCTACAATCATCACTGATTGAAATCTCCTGGCCAACGCAGGATCCTTTTCGATATATTTACGATATTCATCGATCGTCGTAGCACCACAACATCTTAATATACCTTTAGCCAAAGCCGGTTTGAGTAAATTTCCAGCATCTATTGATCCTTCAGACTTTCCTAATCCAAGCAAGGTATGTAATTCATCAATAAATAAAATAAATTTTCCTTCGGCTTCCTGAACTTCACGCAATACTGCCTTGAGTCGTTCTTCAAATTCCCCTCTATACTTTGAACCTGCGATAAGTGATCCTAGATCCAAAGCTATCACCTTTTTATCTTTAATACTTTCTGGGACTTCGCCCTTGACAATTCTTTGAGCCAGTCCCTCAGCAATTGCCGTCTTTCCAACACCAGCTTCACCAATTAGAACGGGATTGTTTTTTGTGCGTCGCGACAATCTAATGAATGAACAAGAATATCACTATAATTAGAGAGTGAGTGACTCAAATAAGACTCATTGATACTTACACTAGTTAATAATCAATGTGAATAAAATTTGATAAAAGCGTTGCAATAAATATATCCGATATAAATGCATGAAATTTCGGAACTTACCTTGTATAGTGCGCCTGATTTCTTCCTCACGCCCAATCACGGGATCAAGCTTTCCTTCCGCTGCAAGTTTAGTCAGGTCGTAGCCGAATTCTTCGAGTGAAAGACCTTTCGGAGGTGCGCCTTGCCCATGATTAATCCGCATATCGCCTAAAAATATTCTTTATCAATGTATATAATTTTAGTAGCAAAAGTATAAAAATCTGACAGAATCAATTACGTACCCGGTCCACCAGCATAAAATCTTTTGTCCGCATAATGTGAAAATAAGAGAGCAATTTTTGAATTCGGCACAAGTGACAATGGATATCTTTTGTAAGCATTTAAAGTTATGAAATTTCGAAAAAGTATTTTTTGGTTAGGTGTAATGGTTCTTTTCAGCGCTGCAAGGTTCAAAACAGAACTACACCCACGAAATAACATCGCTACTAAATGTGAAATACAAATATGATAATCTTTTTGATGTGCTGATGTGTGTAAAACTATCTTAGTTTTGTGTGACAAGAGTTGCGTCATTGTAATACATACGTACTTTTTTTTTTTTTTTTTTTTTTTTTTTTTTTTTTTTATTTATTTATTATAGAGCATCGTATTTACATATGCTAGTAAATTTTTCTTTTTTTTTTTTCTTTACCAATCCGTTAGTTAAATATGGTGGTGGTATGTAATAAATAATATCCAAATCTAATTCTTTATTTATCAAAATGTGTAGATCTATTTACAAATATTTCTTTTTTCCTATTGTGATAAGGCTAAAGAAGACAACACACAACAACCTCGTAAAGTTGAGCCAGACGAAGTGTCAGGCCTTTTGACAAACGATAATATCATTCAACAGTCTAAATCAACTTATGATGAAAAAAAAAAAGATGACGAGTAAGTTCATAATGATGACATTATTTTTTCGTTAGTTAAATATTATCCCATAACGCACATCATCATCAATAGTGAGCCTGTTGAAGTGGATGAGTTTGGTCGCATGTTGCGCCGTAATGGGCGTCAGCGAAATGATTTAGATAATAGTGATCACAGTGACTATGAACGTCACAGATCCGAACATCGAAGATACAGTAGTAGCCGTTCTTCACGGTATCGACACTCTGATGATTACTACGAGTCCCGATCAAGTAGCTATCACTATCGGAAACTGCAATATGATAGCTATGTACCAAGACGTTCAAGTTATTACAAACATTCAGATAGCGACCGAGATGACTACTATCGCAGTGATGACGATAGGCAAAGAGATCGAAAACGTGCTAGAACGTGGTCACGTAGATCATCAGATAGTGAAGACGATAATGATCGAAGGCCTAGTGGTAGAAGGCGTTCTCATTCTCGAGACAGAAGCATTGGCCCTGAGGGGAGGAAATGGACACAATCTGGACAAGAAGATGTAAGTCCGTATATTACTTTTTAATTGTAATCTTTTTTATTACTTATTCAATTGTGTATAATCCTGTTAGCCATTTTCGACAGCAAGTAGATATATTGACACTGAATTCTATACCAGAAAAATATATGTTGGAGAACTTCGGGGCGTTTCTGAACGTGCACTGCATAATGCTTTTGAGCGATTCGGTGATATTGAAAGTATCGATATGTTACCAGAAAAAGGGTGAATAGTAGTTCTTTATCAACATATGACTGATATAATATTTTTACAACTATTATTGAAAATTGCTGTTCACTCTTACAGAATCGCATTTATCGATTTTGACACCGAAGAAAATGCTAATGAAGCTCGCCGCAGAATGAATAATACTCTACTCGGTTCAGGTTATGTACAAGGTAATATAAATATTTACACATAATTAGTCAAATGAAATAATGGTCATTTGAAATCACTAATAGTATTTATCTATGCTCGTAGTAAATAGAGCAAAGCGGCCTGAACGAAATAAAAATGGGTTTGGCAATGTACCCTGGAGTGATGCAGGTTAGCAATTCATCAACAGTGCTTGCCTAAATTTTCAACAAAATAATTACCAAAATTTAAACTCATCTATATAGATGGTGCTGAGGCCAGACTAAATGAAACTAAGCCAATTACTTATAGCACTTCCTCAATTTCAGTTCAAACAGGTAGTAAATTTTAATTTTTAATGTCTATTCTACTGCTCAAACCTATAATTCAATATTATAATTATTCAAATAGTATTTCCAGCTACATCTGCGCTACCGCCACAGGCTTTTGATCCACGATTACAAGGACACAAACGAAAAATAATAGCCTATGATGATCTTTAGGATTCTGATAATTAAGTGCAACTTTAAAGGTTTGTAATATCATGATAAATTGTATAAAAATGCATACATTAGGATAAAGGATTAAATTTGTTAGTAATTACACAAGATAGAAGTTAAAATAATTTGTGTGTTGTTTTTAACTTATAGATTGTTACTAAATCACGATTATTTTTATAGCGTAATAAAATAATAAATATTATAAAGAAACTTTTTAATATACCATTAAGGACGTAATTATTTAAAGATTTCAAATTAAAGCTTGGAGTCTAACGTTTGTTGAGTAAGGAAAATATGAATTTAGGGTATCACTAAAATTTCGTGAACGCTTTTTTTATTAGAACATGAAAGCGGTTTAATAGAATAATAAGCATTTCTGCATTATTTCTAATCTTGTTTTTGTCTTACGTAGTTTTATTGTTCGATCGAAAGGATGCAGGTGCGCCATTTCAAAGAATCTTTTTCTTTTTATTTAATAGTAAAAACAAAATTATTTTTATTATTTTTTTATTATTTTTTTTTTTAGCCTGTTTAAGATTACCTTTTTGGGATTCAAATGTTTATCAGATAATAGAATAATGATAACATTATTATTTACCTACTATATATATTATTGCCAATGGCTTTAACCTTACTATATCATGAGATTTATACTGGTTCAAACCAAAGATTGATTGTATTTTTTATATTTTTTGTTTTTTTTTTACTTTGTTAAAGCTTGTGACTAGTTTTAAAGTAGGTTATCAATTTAGTATATTAATTTATTATTTAAATTTTTGTAATTGGGTTTTTTTAATATTTTCAAGGATTTTTGGTTTAGTTAATTATGTAGTTTGTTTATTTAACTTGTAGTTAAACAGTTTTTTATAAATTTAATATGCTTTGTTTAGAAATTTTAAATTTATCAATTACAAACTATATTTTTTTACAGAGGTTTTAAATATTGTTTATATTGTTATAAAACAAGTTGTCGTCCCTCCATATAATCACCTCCCATATAATCACATCATATGTAATCACATTTTTATTTAGGCCAAACTATGATT